GCGCTGGGCGGGAAGGTGGACGGCGGGTGGAGACTGGAGGGTGGGCGGCGGTTGGAGGCTGGGGGGTGATCAGCTGGCCGTGGCACTTACTACTCAGGTGAGTGGTAATACATATACCACCTCTATACAAAGTGTGGGTATACACCCACTACACAATATGTGGGTATACATTGGGTGGGTGGGTAGCGTAGACACACATGGGAGCCTCCCGGCTTCTATGGGCGGGTGGCAAGGTGGCCTCGTGGGTGGGGAGGCGACGTGGTGGGGTGGGTAGGAGGGGGAAGAGCAGGTACTTCCCGGCCTGGGCGCTGGGTGGGGGCGGGGGTCAGGGCGACACTAACACTGGTATAATTTCCCCGTATATCACTGCACAATAATGAATGAATCACACACTTGTAATCTGACTCACTGCACGTGTGATGTACTCACAATATGATAGATATGTTGCGCCAATTATCGCTGACAACGTAACTTGTTCAGCAAAACTTTCAAAAAAGAAAAACACAAAGAATATATATATATATATATATATATATATATATATATATATATATATATATATATATATATATATATATATATATATATATATATATATTAGTATATTTTGGTAGCAGTCTTTCCTGTAGACATATATTATTAAATATGACCAAAAAAGTAAGATTAATAATTCTAACACGAATTTTCTCAATCTTTCATACATTTCTTTTCACTGCTGGTGGTAATTCAAAAATCAATTCTCCAAAATTCATTTTTATTTCTAGTCTGACGCGACACTTGAGCGCGTTTCGTAAAACTTATTACATTTTCAAAGACTTTAGTTTACACATACACAACTGAATAGAACTTACACATCTCCGATTTGTTTATATCTACATTTGAGTGAGGTGGATGGGGTGAGGTGGTATTAATAGGGTATTAAATTCATCAACACAAGACAGAACACGAAACAATGGGTATTGAATGGAAGTGATTGTAGAAAGCCTATTGGTTCATATTTCTTGATGCTTCTATATTGGAGCGGAGTCTTGAGGTGGGTAGAATATAGTTGTGCATTAATTGGCTGTGGATTGCTGGTGTTGACTTCTTAATGTGTAGTGCCTCGCAAACGTCAAGCCGTCTGCTATCGCTGTATCTATCGATGATTTCTGTGTTGTTTACTAGGATTTCTCTGGCGATGGTTTGGTTGTGGGAAGAGATTATATGTTCCTTAATGGAGCCCTGTTGCTTATGCATCGTTAAACGCCTAGAAAGAGATGTTGTTGTCTTGCCTATATACTGGGTTTTTTGGAGCTTACAGTCCCCAAGAGGGCATTTGAAGGCATAGACGACGTTGGTCTCTTTTAAAGCGTTTTGCTTTGTGTCTGGAGAGTTTCTCATGAGTAGGCTGGCCGTTTTTCTGGTTTCAGAGTAAATCATAGTATAGTAAATTTAGTATAGCTCTTACATGCAACAGATGGCGCTGTTTTGCAAGAAATGCATAGTTTTACCTGTAACAGGTGTGGCATCTATACTTATACTTACGAAATGAACGGTATGGTAAACAACACGGCTCAATTCCAACACAATGCCACAAAATAATTCAATAAAAAATAAAATAAACCAAAATCTATTAAAATGAAATATATCAATGCAATCGGCAACATTCAAATGGAATTCGTGACATACATAGTATAGCGTGCATGTTGCTATTATGTGCAATAGATGGCGCTGTTTTCCAAAAACGCATGTTTTAACCTATCACATAGGTGGCATCTATACAGTAGGCATATAAAAAGATGCGCATATTCGAATGGAATGTTGTCGCAGAATTTCAAAGCGATCGGTGAAGAATTTTGGAAGATTACAGCGTGTGTTGGTCTTACATCCAACATATGGCGATGTTTTTCAAAAAAAGCATGTTTTCTCCTGTCACAGGTAACGCATGTATATAGTAAGTATATAGAAACACGCGCCTATTCGAATGCAACGTCGTGTCAAAATTTCAAACCGATCGGTAAAGAGGTTTCGAAGATTTCTCTCATATGAAAACCACATGAAAAACACAGTTTTTCAAAAAAACATGTTTTTTTTCCATCAAAGACGTGACATCAATATAATAAGTATATAAAAACCTGCTCAAATGCGAATGGAACATTTTGTGAAAATTTCAAAGCAATCAGTGAAGAACTTTCGGAGATTAGCGATTTTGAACAAACGAACATTTCCATTTTGATTTATATAGATATATATTGATACCTCTCTCGTCTCCTTACTAATGAGTACATTTGGAGAGGTTTGAGACGATCCCAATAGTATAGGTGCTTTATATGTTCTATATGTATATAGTATGCCGTATAGTTCTCTGTATCCCCTCTATTTCAACAATCTCTCCTGCTCTGAAAGGGGGAAGTACTCAAGACGGGACAGCACAAGGGATTTGAAGTTTGAATAGTACGACCATTGTGATGGGATCCCTGGATTTAAAGGTTCTCGTAATCCATCCTATCATTTTTTTCTGGCTAGTTCAGGCTCGAGTTCGGAAGACTTCATGAAAGAGTGTTTAATTCCTGGCAAACTTCGTTATCATTTCCAGTATTTTCAAATCCCCCTTTTTGTAATCTACTCACATGGTCTCTTTCTGTTATTTACTTTTTAGATGGTATGTAGAAGTTTTTGTTGTTTCTTTTGCTTTATAAACAATATCATATTCCTAATTTGTCTTTGATACTCTTCTTATATTTTATGTATTCATTCCTAGCCCTGTCGAACCTCTTCCTGTTTTCTTCTGCATTTTTACCTATGTACTTCTGCCAGATTCTCCTGCTTTTCGTTTGTGTTACCTTGTCATTATCATTTGAACCAATGATTATTAAATTCTCCACTGTACTTTTTTCCTTGATGTTAATGTGAATCTCTATTCTGCTTCTCTGCATTTCAGTCTGATTTGGTCCATCATTTCCTGGTCTGTCTTCCCTCTAAGTTTTCCTCTTATTGCACAATTTTATTATACTTTTATATTTTAAATTATCCACTACTTTTAATGTCATCCACTTTTTCTATACTCTACTTTCCGTTCTCTAACCCCTTGTGTTATGGTCATAATTATTAAGCCAAATAGTTGCACCCATTGATCACTGGATACTAGTAGTAATTCGAGTACAAAGTTCTCGATACCTTACACCATCTGAGTTAAAATCAACTCCATTAGACTTGGTGTATCTCTCTCCTTTCTCGCGTGCCATCCTTTATATGCTGTGTGAAGAAGTTTCTTTCCAAAACTTTTACTAACTTTGTTCCGCATATTTTTACCTCACCATAGGGATTTCACGATTCCCAATCAATCTCTTCACGATTTAGGTCCATCATGATTAGAAGCTTAGCTCTCATTCTGTGTACTGCTGTTGATGCTCTCTGCAGTTCGACTATGCATTCTCTGTTGTTTCTCTCAGAGAACAAGCATTCTCGTGTTGTTCCGTATTCCTTTCTGGATCTTCTGCTGTTCGTTTGGTTTTACTAGGAATGTAAGAGCCTCTTGTTTTCTGGTCTCTTCCTTCAGTAAATATCCCTACTTCCACCAGATATGTAAACGTCAATACACCGTGATCACGCATTTCCTTTGGGGCTTCCAAATTGGTTTCCCTTATTTTTCACTAGTTTATAGGATATATGAGGTCAAGTCTTCGCTAGTTCGTCATTTCCACTCATTCTTGTGGGTTCTCTGACATATTGGCTGAAAATGTATCTTGTTGAGACGTCATATTGTTTATCTCTCAATATTTCTATCCCCTAGACGGTTCTTTGTTCTCAAAGTCAATTTTTTCATGGCTGATGTCTTCACATGATTAGATGTTGGGATTTATTCATACAGGCAACAGAGGCTGCCCATTGGATTAATAATACTATTTGCAAAGGTTTTTCTGTCATACTTCTGTCTAGGTCTTCTGTCATTTACTGGAGGGGGATATATCATATATCACTGCTACTACTGTCTTTGGAACGTCCTCTGTCATGGTGCCCGTTATGTAGCCTAATAACCCTACGCAGCTTGGCATATTCATCTCCTTAAAACTCAAGTTCTTTCTTATGAGGAGGGCCACACCTCCTCCTCTCCTTCCTTGCCTCTCTTACCTTATTACATTATAGAACAGGGGGGAACACAGCAGTTGGTATGATGCCTGGCAATTGCGTTTCAGTGAGCTCTATTACAAGTCTGGGTTACCTTCTTGTGCTCTTTCTCCTGGTTCATTTAGCCTTATTTGTAATCGTAATATACTCACAAATATGTGAGTATATTACTTTGAGGCAAACATTTGCCAACTGTCCAATCTCGTTTACCCAGGGAGTTAATTCCACCAACATGGGAGGGTGCCCGCTCTGTGGGGTTATTACATGGGTGAGGAAGATAAAAGAGGCTGTGAGGAAGTAGTCTTTGGGGTGAGAGTTTGTCTTGGGGTGTGGAGTGGAGGAGTTTAGTTCTTGCCTCGTGTTACATGGTGGGTGGGTGGCGTTGTGGGGTGGCAGGGAGGGTACCGTGACTTTGTCCGTGAGAAAGACAGAGAGAGAGAGAGAGAAGGGGAGAGAGAGCGAGAGAGAGCGAGAGAGAGAGAGAGAGAGAGAGAGAGAGAGCGAGAGAGAGAGAGAGAGAGAGAGAGAGAGAGAGAGAGAGAGAGAGAGAGAGAGAGAGAGAGAGAGAGAGAGAGAGAGAGAGAGAGAGAGAGAGAGAGAGAGAGAGAGAGAGAGAGAGAGAGAGAGAGTGTGTGTGTGTGTGTGTGTACTCACCTAGTAGTACTCACCTAGGTGTGCATGCGGGGGTTGAGCTCTGGCTCTTTGGTCCCGCCTCTCAACCGTCAATCAACAAGTGTACAGGTTCCTGAGCCTATTGAACTCTATCATGTCTACACTTGCAACTGTGTATGTGTGTGTGTGTGTGTGTGTGTGTGTGTGTGTGTGTGTGTGTGTGTGTGTGTGTGTGTGTGTGTGTACCCATGTGTATGTATATATATACACAAGAGACTAACCTTAGCAGTAAATGTCTGTGGAAGGCCGCCGTCAAAGCCCGGTCTGCACCCGACTTCCAGGGAGTCGTAGGTCTTGTTCACAACCGCACACGCCACCGGCCGTTCAGGACGACCTGGGAGGAGGGACACAAAGTATTTGTGATCATGGCTAAAACTTTGTACAGAGCAGTCAACAAGCACTTTGCATCAACAGTGACGGAGAGGGCATCTTTGTTCCGATGGCAGTTTTAGGTGAGGATGAATTTCAAGCTCAAAGACAGTTATTGTTATTAAAGCGCTTTCTTACAACAACAGGATGTAAAGATTAAAGAAAAGCTGCTAAATGCTTTTAGACAAACCTCGAAGTTAAGGGGGAAAGTTTTCTCTGAGGAGAAAAAGATTTCAGTAGTTGGGTTGACTGGTGACTCAAGCGGGCACTTACGTGTGACCCTTGAGGACGATACTCAGCACCCCAGGTGACCAGCACCCCAGGTGACCAGCACCCTAGGTGACCAGGACTCCAGGTGACCATCACCCCAAGTGACCATCATCCCATGTGACCAGCACCCCAGGTGACCAGCACCCAAAATGACCATGCAGCACCCCAGGTGACCAGCACCCTAGATGACCGGCACCCCAGGTGACCAGCACCCTACGTAACCAGCACCCCCTGATGACCCGCACCCCAGGTGACCAGCACCCCAGGTGACCAGCACCCCAGGTGACCAGTACCCCAGGTGACCCGCACCCCAGGTGACCAGCACCTCCAGGTGACCCGTACCAAAGGTGACCAGCACCCCTTGATGACCCGCACCCCAGGTGACCAGCACCCCAGGTGACCAGCACCTCCAAGTGACCAGCACCTCCAGGTGACCATCACCCCAGGTGACCAGCACCCCAGGTGACCAGCACCCCAGGAGACCAGCACCCCAGGTGACCAGCACCCCTGGTGACCAGCACCTCCAGGTGACCAGCACCCCCAGGTGACCAGCACCCCAGGTGACCAGCACCCCAGGTGACCAGCACCCCAGGTGACCATCACCCCAGGTGTCCAGTACCCCAGGTGACCAGCACCCCAGGTGACCAGCACCTCAGGTGACCAGCACCTCCAGGTGACCAGCACCTCCAGGTGACCAGCACCCCCAGGTGACCAGCACCCCCAGGTGACCAGCACCCCAGGTGACCAGCACCTCCAGGTGACCAGCACCTCCAGGTGACCAGCACCCCAGGTGACCAGCACCCCAGGTGACCAGCACCCCAGGTGACCAGCACCCCAGGTGACCAGCACCCCAGGTGACCAGCACCCCAGGTGACCAGCACCCCAGGTGACCAGCACCCCCAGGTGACCAGCACTTCAGGTGACCAGCACCCCCAGGTGACCAGCACCCCAGGTGACCAGCACCCCAGGTGACCAGCACCCCAGGTGACCAGCACCTCCAGGTGTCCAGTAACCCAGGTGACCAGCACTCCCAGGTGACCAGCACCCCAGGTGACCATCACCTCCAGGTGACCAGCACCCCAGGTGACCAGCACCCCAGGTGACCATCACCCCAGGTGACCATCACCCCAGGTGTCCAGTACCCCAGGTGACCAGCACCCCAGGTGACCAGCACCCCAGGTGACCAGCACCCCAGGTGACCAGCACCCCAGGTGACCATCACCTCCAGGTGAGCAGCACCTCAAGTGACCAGCACCCCAGGTGACCAGTACCCCAGGTGACTAGCACCTCAAGTGACCAGCACCCTAGGTGACCAGCACCCCAGGTGACCAGCACCCTAGGTGACCAGCACCCTAGGTGACCAGCACCCCAGGTGACCAGCACCCCAGGTGACCAGCACCCTAGGTGACCAGCACCCTAGGTGACCAGCACCCCAGGTGACCAGCACCCTAGGTGACCAGCACCCTAGGTGACCAGCACCCTAGGTGACCAGTACCCCAGGTGACCAGCACCTCCAGGTGACCAGCACCCCAGGTGACCAGCACCCCAGGTGTCCAGTACCCCAGGTGACCAGCACCCCAGGTGACCAGCACTCAAGGTGACCAGCACCCCAGGTGACCAGCACCCAAGGTGACCAGCACCCCAGGTGACCAGCACCCCACTTGACCAGCACCCCAGGTGACCAGCACCCCAGGTGACCAGCACCCCAAGTGACCAGCACCCCAGGTGACCCGCACTCAAGGGGACCAGCACCCCAGATGACCAGCACCCCAGGTGACCAGCACCCAAGGTGACCATCATCCCAGGTGTCCAGCACCCCAGGTGACCAGCACCCTAGGTGACCAGCACCCCAGGTGACCAGCACCCCAGGTGACCATCACTCCAGGTGACCATCACCCCAGGTGTCCAGCACCCCAGGTGACCAGCACCCCAGGTGACCAGCACCCCAGGTGACCAGCACCCCAGGTGACCAGCACCCCTGGTAACCAGCACCCTAGGTGACTAGCACCCGACGCGACCACCGAACTTACTGTACACATCCCATTACTGAGGTGTAACTGGATGTATATAATGGTTAACACATCCACAAATATGCAAGTATATTTACCTATACATCTTTGATGTGCACCTTTGTGTGAACTACAATGAATACTTTCATGCGTATTACTATGCATACGCCTCTATTTATGAACCACTAGGCGAACACTCATGCACACTCGCTTGTAGACTGTGTATACTGTCATGCAAACCTCAGGCAACATTCTGTGCAACTGCATTAGTGCATGTATGTATAGATCCCTACACATTACTGTATCTTTTAAACATGTAAACCTCAGTCAATACCTGTGAGAACATACCCTCTTGTGCACCTGTATCTCTTCAGGTGAGCTGGGTAAATATTCCAAAGTTAAACTACGTTGTCTAATAGATCAAATAAACTGTCCCGTTGCGAGGCAGCCATAGCAAGCCATATATCAAAATTCTTCTTGGGAAATAAATGATAAAAAAAATCATGAACTCAAACTGTCTCTGTGAGAGTTAGACTGAGTCGAAACTCTTCCACCTGGTCCTTATTAGAGGTAGATTGACCAAGACGTTTAACAAAGAGCCATCATAGACAGTGGTCTGCCAACTCCCTCACAAATTGTCCTCATGGGAGGTAACCTCACAGAGACTATTATCATAAAATGTATGTGAGATTTTTTCTCTGACTTTTACTTGATCAAAAAAAAAAAAACCTTTTGATGTTATGTTAAATTAATGTAACTACCTCGCATGGGAGGCAGACCTCAAACAGAAAGAATTGTTTACTAGCAGATTTGTAACTTGAGACCATAGTAAAAGCGGAAGCAAACCGCCAGGCTTCCACCATACGGGTGAAAACCTGTCTACTTGGGTCGTTGTCTCTTTCTAGTGATTAATTAATATTAAAGGGTAACCGACAGGAACTCACTTCGAATTTCTTGAAGTGTGGTGCTATGAATCGGACTCCAGCTTTAGGAACAGACTCAATATACATATAAGCCAGTGATACATACATACATACCAGTATGTATGTATGTATCATACATGTACCAAAATACGGCGGTATTTTGGCCGGTTTGGCGCAGTTGTTAGTGTGATAGTGAACGTGGTGTCTTCTAGTCCTCTTAAGGGTGTGAGGTCTAACATTCGCACCCTGGGCATGAGACTCCGGGCGGATATTCCGTCCTCTGTGCGCCTTATGGGGTACAACGTTCGAGTGTTTTACGCCCGTCAGCCGCGGACGTGTTATCGTTGTGGTCTTTTGGGCCATCAGGCTGCTGACTGTTCTGCGCCTGCTGTTGCACCAGTGAATCTCTTCAGTGAGGAGGATTTTCCGCCCCTTCCTGTGGAGGATGATTCGGTGGGTATGGACGTCTCTTCGGCTGAGGAGGTGCCCTCTGTAGCAGCTGTTGCTCCGCCTGTTGCGCCCCCTGTTGTTGCCGCATCTCCTCCGGAGGTTGGGTCCTCGCCTAGTGCTCCAGCTGGTGTCCCTGAGCCTCTTCCGCCTGCCGTTTGCTCAGACCCCTCGTCTTCCAGTTCTTCCTCTGCTGTGTCTGTCCCGGTCCCTGCGCCCTCGCCGTCTGTTCCGGCTGTGCTGGGAGCTGAGGTGGTTCCGGCATTCCCTCCTGTGCCTGGCCTGGTGCCCCGTGTGGTTGAGGAGGCTGCCGTGCTGCGGCGTGCGTCGGTTCGCTCGGTTGGTGCTGCGCGGGTCTCTGAGTCTGCCTCCGGGTCTGATGATGTGCGGCCCGAGCCTAAGCGTTCCCGGCGTTCTTCTGCGTGGGCTGATGTTGACGAATTCGACAAGTGTCGTCCTTCCGTTGACGGTGGGGTGGTTCCGGATGTGGTGCACACTACGGTGGTGGCGGAGGTACACTTGCCTGAGGATGCCGGTGCCGGCGTTTCGGCCTCAACCTCTGGTCCGGTGTCCGAGGGTCCTGCTTCAGGTGCGTTGCCTGCGTCGGATGGCTCCAGTTCTTCGTGGGCGGTGGTTCCCCCTGCTGTAGTTGGTGGTGAGCGGGGTGGCCTGGTGGTGATGTTGAGAAAGGATGCTCGCTCTGGATGTTCTGTGGCCCCTTCCTCGTTACCCGTTTCCTCGGCAGCTGTCTTGCCGCCTCTTCCGTTTCCTGCAGTCCCTTCCGTGTCTCCTGCGGTATCCGTGGAAGTGCTATCGTCTCAGCGTCCGGCGCCTGCTCCGATGACGAAGGCGTGGCAGGCTCGGCGACCCTCGTCCGCTTCTCCGGTGTCATCTGCTTCCTCGAAGGGCGTGGTTGGCGCTCCCCAGCCTCGTTATGCGACTTGCGTCAGTGACCTTAGGCATTGGCCAATGCCGCCAGATATAGATGTTCCTGAGTTTATGATACCCGCTCGAGCGCGGGGGGTCGAAAACCCTACCGACCTTGAAGATCTAGTCTGGGAAGCTTACAAGGCGAAATATCCTCATGATCTTTTCCCGGAGAAGTACGTTTCTTTCGAGGTTCCTCGCAAGTGATTTCTGTGTATTTTGTGTTGCCTGGTTGTGGGGTGTGTATGTGAGTGGGTGGGGTGGGTATTGTTTCCCGGTTCCTGCGTGCTCCGGTTTGTATTGTGGGTTTTCTTGTATGGCTAGTGGGGGGTGTGCGGTTCTTGTGCGTTTGTGTGTTCGGTTGTGGATGTCGTGTGCGCTTGCTTGTCATATTGTGTGCCCTTCAGGCTGTTGGGGTGTGCTCTTTGTTATGTGTGCATTATGTGTTTGAGGTGTTAGCAGACTTTTGTATGTTTCTCGCCTCTGTTTCCCTTATGTTTGTATTACGCTGTGTTTATATTTGTGTTATGTTTGTATATGCATTTTTTGTTTTGTGGTCAGCCCTTCTGGCTGGTCTTCTCTTGATTTGTTCCTTTGTCATTGTTCATGTGTGTGCTTTGTACTTTTGTTCTCTGTTATATTTGTTCTGTTTTTATTGTACATTATACGCATGCTTGCATGTAAAAATAAAAATAAAAAAAAAAAAAACTTAATTAACGACGACTCGTAAATTCGTTAACACTATGTTAGTCGCCTTTCTGACAATTCTTCACCACTGCATGAACTCACTGTGACCGTTGCAATTTATACAAATTAGCAAAGGGTGCTCAACTAACTGTCGCATGGACAGGTAACTGCACCCACAAATTTACGTTACTCACAACGCTGTTCAACAACACAACAATGCCCTCGTTAAGCAATGATGTTCCCCCAGTGACGTTAATGACTTTAATTCTCACGGAATCCTTCACAGTACACAACGCATTACACCAAGGACACAAACTCTCAACAGTTTACTACACGGTACCACACGGTACAACTTTGCAGCCCACGGTACTTGCGTTTCCTCAGCAAATTATGTCAACAATAAAGACAATTATGTTGACAATAATGTCAACACTAATGTCATGGCGTCCTCCTACTTCGTACCCGTGGTCAGCTGGACCACGGGTTGACTGGCGCGATGTTCCGACACACGACCAATGTGGTGGTGGTAGGTACTCCCCGATGCCTAGGCCAGGCAAGAGCGAGGCGGGACACGGAGGCGGCTGGTAGCTCCACATGGCTAGATGATACCATGGTTTCCAACAAAACACCGAAACCTTCACAAGTTCGTGCCCTCCAGGTACCTTGTAATTAAGGCAAGATAGACGACGGATGTCACTACCACACGTCGTTACACTCAGCCTCCACAGTCCACTTTCTCTGGGTGGCGTCCCACAGTCACGCCGGAAGGTGACGATCCCCCCTAAGGTCACACTCGTTAGCTTTATCACCGTTTTCCCCTCTTCCACGATACCGGATTCTTACTCCCATGGTTCCGGGATGAAGGCTTCACGATCGAGAGTGACTTTTGTGTCGTCGCAGGCGGTCTTTCCGGTGCTTGGCCTAGCACGAGAACGACACGTCCTCTTTCAGCAACAGACACTCGTAAGATTGATTTTGGCACCAAGCGAGGGGCCTCACGATCGGGCGGGTTCCCTCACTCCTTCCACCAATCACAGTGAAGCATCTCAGGAGGCCTGAAGCGTCGACCACTCACATTCTACCTAGGTGACGCTCTTCCCCCAGGCACGAGGGAGTCACGTGAGGGGGGGGGGAGGGGTCAACCTACAACTGTTAACCCCCCAAACCCCTTCTCTCCACCTGAACTTGTACAAAATTCCACCTGAAATCAACTCCCTGCTATAACTTTCTTTACAGACTTGATACAGCAACCACAGTAGCTTTAATGACTAGCACTCGTCCATTGCTATCCATAGACACCCCACACGACTGAGTAAGAGTTGTACTTCTCAATCTTGTGCTACGGTGCACACGCACCTGTGCACACCTACTGTGCACATATTTCAGTGCACAAGGGAGCTGGAAAAATTCCTTTCCTGACAATGTATGCTCAGCCATCTTGTTCAGAAATGGTCCCTATGAGAATGACTTTGTCTCAGTACTCTCACAAGCAGTATTCATGAGCTGTAACCAACACTTACGAATATCCTCGCATATGAGCCGGACTCAGGCAACACGGACCATAATCAGACCAATACTCACAAATTATTCTCACGAGACACACACTTATCCAAGCTGCACCTGAACCTCTCTCGTGAATGATAGATTCACCCAATGCACTTAAAAAAAAAAAAAGACTTTTCTGAACCTCTAACAATCTGTCTTCTTGAGAAATCGATTCAGTCACTACTCAAATCTGTTGTCACAAGAGAATCTGACTTTTGAAGCTCGCTAATACACACACACGCACGCACACACACACACACACACACACACACACACACACACACACACATATGATGGACCTAGTCATACAGAAATGCCAGGAGGCCGAAGAGAGATTTATACCAACGGTAAAGGGAAAAAATAAGAAGGAATATAATAACCCATGGTTTAATAGACAGTGTCAGGAAGCAAAAATGGCCAGCAGGCGGGAGTGGAGGAAGTACAGAAGACAAAGAACAGAGGACAACAGAAGCAGATACAACAGAGCTAGGAACGATTACATTAACATATGACGAACATCGGAAAGGGACTATGAGAACGATATTGCAATCAAAGCGAAAAAACAACCTAAGTTACTACACAGTCATATAAGAAGAAAAATGTCGGTGAACGACCAAGTGACAAGACTAAGGAAGACAGAGGGGGCATATACTGAAAGTGACAAGGAAATCTGCGAGGCACTGAATGCCAGTTTCCATGGAGTGTTCACTACCGAGCCTGAGCAGCTCCCATTGTTGGAAGGGGTTACCCTAGATGAAAGACTATCAGATATAGAGGTGACAGCAGAGGAGGTAATGAAACAGTTGACAACTCTAGATGCAACTAAAGCAGTTGGACCAGACAAAGTATCACCGTGGATACTAAAAGAAGCAGCACAGGCCCTCAGCGTGCCTCTGGCAATGATCTTTAATGAGTCACTTATGTCAGGAGAATTGCCCAGTTGCTGGAAGAAGGCAAATGTCGTGCCGATCTTCAAGAAAGGAGATAGGGAGGAGGCACTTAACTACAGACCTGTATCACTGACAAGCATCCCCTGTAAAATACTGGAAAGAATAATTAGGCTACGACTGGTTGCACACCTGGAGAACATTAGGTTTGTGAACAAACATCAACATGGGTTCTGGACAGGGAAATCGTGCCTAACAAACCTTCTGGAATTCTATGATAAAATAACGAGGATAAGACAGGACAGAGATGGTTGGGCAGACTGCATATTTCTGGACTGCCAAAAAGCCTTTGATACAGTACCGCACATGAGACTGCTGTTCAAGCTCGAGAGGCAGGCGGGGGTGGGGGGAAAGGTCCTGGAATGGATAAGGAACTACCTAACAGGAAGGAGCCAAAGAGTTACGGTAAGGGGCGAGAAGTCGGACTGGCGAACAGTAACAAGTGGAGTACCACAAGGATCGGTGCTGGGACCAATTCTATTTCTTGTATATGTTAACGACATGTTTACAGGCGTAGAGTCCTACATGTCGATGTTTGCGGATGATGCAAAGTTGATGAGAAGAGTTGTGACAGATGAGGATTGCAGGATCCTCCAAGAGGACCTGAACAGATTGCAGAGATGGTCAGAGAAATGGCTACTAGAATTCAACACGAGCAAATGTAAAGTTATGGAAATGGGACTAGGAGATAGGAGACCAAAGGGACAGTACACAATGAAGGGGAACAGCCTACCTGTAACGACGCGTGAAAGAGACCTGGGGGTGGACGTAACACCTAATCTATCTCCTGAGGCACATATTAATAGGATAACGACAGCAGCGTACTCTACACTGGCAAAAGTTAGAACATCATTCAGAAACCTAAGTAAGGAGGCATTTAGGGCGCTTTACACTGCCTACGTAAGGCCAGTCTTAGAGTATGCCGCCTCATCATGGAGTCCCCATCTGAAGAAGCATATAATGAAACTGGAAAAGGTTCAGAGGTTTGCAACGAGACTCGTCCCAGAGCTACGAGGGATGGGGTATGAAGAGCGCCTGAGGGAACTGTGCCTTACGACACTAGAAAGAAGAAGGGAGAGGGGGGACATGATAGGAACGTATAAGATACTCAGAGGAATTGACAGAGTGGACATAGACGAAATGTTCACACGGAATAGTAACAGAACGAGAGGACATGGATGGAAGCTTGAAACTCAGATGAGTCACAGAGATGTAAGGAAGTTTTCTTTTAGCGTGAGAGTAGTGGGGAAATGGAATGCACTTCAGGAACAGGTTGTGGAAGCAAATACTATTCATAATTTTAAAACCAGGTATGATAGGGAAATGGGACAGGAGTCATTGCTGTAAACAACCGATGCTCGAAAGGCGGGATCCAAGAGTCAATGCTCGATCCTGCAAGCACATATAGGTGAGTACATATAGGTGAGTACACACACACACACACACACACACACACACACACACACACACACACACACACACACACACACACACACACACACACACACACACAAACCAGGTGACAGAATTATTTTTCTTGCTAGAAAATCAACTTGGCTTCGGGCACCCAATTAGGCAAGTTTCAAGTTTCAGGTGTAGATATGATAGAGCCCAATAGGCTCAGGAATCTGTACACCTGTTGATTGACGGTTGAGAGGCGGGACCAAAGAGCCAGAGCTCAACCCCCGCAAACACAACTAGGTGAGTACACACACACACACACACACACACACACACACACACACACACACACACACACACACACACACACACACACACACACACACACACACACACACACACACACACACACACACACACAAACTATATCTTGGAGGTATTTATACCACCTGTCCACGAGAGTGGAGATCCATCCGGTGCTAACAGTTGTCAGGTGTGGGGTACTCACACAGCACAAACTGCTCTCAGACAGCTGTAGAGGACTCACCTGCAGGAATGACGTGGAACAAGCAAGGCTGCGTCATCCTCCCTACACTGTTCTGAGCCCAGCACTGCAGGGTGCCGTAGTCTTGATGGGCTTTGGCCATGAACTGCACGACGCTTCGTCCGTCTGTGGGAAGGTGTATTAATACACATTACTGTGATGACGAAGGAACTCTCGCTGTGTTAAATATTAGAAGGTGCGACAACTATTGTATGATGCTTTATAAAACACGCACTCATTGTCGCATGCTGTTAAGTAACTATAGTTAATTTCATTCAAGTTTGTGGCATATTAGGTTGACCATCTATAAACTATTGCCTGCAAACAATAATAGCTTCTATATATCAATGATCAGATTGTTACCATGTAACTAACTCCTGTGCAGAAGCCGTCATTCACTAAATACAACGAGATATTCACAAAAGGTGATTAGTGTACTAGTAAGGACCATCAGGGGCAGCAAGAGATGGTTTAAGAGCAAACAAGAATGAAAACCAGGTGACAGAATTATTTTTCTTGCTAGAAAATCAACTTGGCTTCGAGCCCCCAATTAGGCAAGCTCTCACCTGGAGTAGTGAAGACCAGGTTGCCGGGAAGTCTCTCGGAGGTGACGGAGTTGTTGAACACCCACGAGTACTTGAGGGAGGAGGGAGAGGCTACCACTCTACAGGTCACGTTGATGTACTGACCGACGCCGGCGGCGTACACGTCGGCCTCCCCGTCGCTCTCCTCGCACACCGGGGCATCTGCAGGACCCGTCAGGTCAAGGGGGTTCATGTATGATTGGTGGATTGAGGAAGAGTTAAGCCACCCAAGAGGTGGCACGGGTATGAATAGCCCGTAACTCGTGTATGGTTTTGAGTGGCTATAGTCGTTAATGACGTGCTCGGTGTTATCTGTGAGGTCATTCAGTGGTGGTGCTCTGCTTTGTAGTGTCTGTTAAACTTCCTTGTGTCTGTGTCTGTGCTTCACTGTGATTTATTTGATAATATGTACGTTGTAAAATGCGCGTTGCGCAAAACTCATAGTACAAATGAGTACATATATTCGAAAATGTTGTCAGCGTCTTCACAATTTGTTATCTAAATTTACCTTGTTATGAAAAAACAACTGGATAATTATCAGTTAGAGACAACCCTCGTAGAAAAAGCCATCCCATTTACAAAATGAAGAATGGGGACATCTCACTCTACGATTCACCCAACCCCCTTAATCGTAGAGAGCGCCGAAGGATTATGTGAGGTGATTATTGCCTGACTCTGGTTCCTATCAGTGAAGAACAATGAAGAATAGAAAACAGAAGATGCTTGTTCACCTACAGGGTAATAAAACCCTAGAATCTCCTAACCACTGAAGCTGTAATTGCCAAAACATTACACCAGTTTAAATACAACTGAAAAAATTCCCTCAGGAATAAAAAAAAGGACAAACCACAGGCTTCATGTCCCCGCCGAAATCACTAGACATGCAAGCCCTCCGAAATTCATTGCAATAATTTCCATGCAAATGGTCAATTCGTTCAAGCTTAATGATATTTGCTTCAAAATGAAGTAATTTATTCACGTGGTCCTTAAAAGGTAAAAACCAGAATTAACATTCATGTTTTAGCTGAGTTCAGAAATAAAACTACCAATCATAGATTTAGGAACATAATAGATTATAAAAAATTATTGAGAGTTTGATAAATATTCCTATTTTAATGAAAATCGAACCATAATTTAACTTATGCAGCAAATCACTTGGCTTTTGATCCGAAGATATTTTCAATTATGTAACAAAATCGTATAAAATTTATCGTTGGCTAATGGCTAGTGTATAAAATTGAATAAAGCCTTTGTTAAACATGTTAATTACCATGCAATAAAACTTTATTTGGCTTTATCAGACTTTTTAGATCATACAGTGTTACTTATGAGTTCTTAAACTTTAGTTCAATTCATGTGGCTTCAAAGTTGTAAGAGAAACTCTTTCTTTAAGTTGGAATGTCACCTTGTTATCTGTTTATATCGTAACTGTTTGGCAGGTCAATCTGGAAGGTCAGCCTGGAGGGTCAACCTGGAAGGTCAGCCTGGAAGGTCAGCCTGGAAGGTCAGCCTGGAGGGTCAACCTGGAAGGTCTGCCTGGAAGGTCAGCCTGGAAAGTCAGTCTGGATGGTCAGTCTGGAGGGTCAGCCTGGAATACTTGTCTGGAATGTCAGTCTGGAAAGTCTGTCTGGATGGTCAATTTGGAAGGTCAGCCTGGAGGGTCAGCCTGAAAGGTCAGCCTGAAAGGTCAGTCTGGAAGGTCAGCCTGGAGGGTCAGCCTGGAAGGTCAGCCTGGAGGGTCAGCCTGGAGGGTCAGCCTGGAAGGTCAGTCTGGAAGGTCAGCCTGGAGGGTCAGCCTGGAGGGTCAGCCTGGAAGGTCAGTCTGGAAGGTCAGCCTGGAGGGTCAGTCTGGAAGGTCACCCTGGAAGGTCAGCCTGGAGGGTCAGTCTGGAAGGTCACCCTGGAAGGTCTGTCTGGAAGGTCAGCCTGGAAGGTCACCCTGGAAGGTCTGTCTGGACCCTCAACGAAGACTTTTCACCTTTCAATAAATAAATAATTTACGAGGTACTGAAATTATCAGCGGAAAGCGCCAAGCCATTACGACACTATACCACTTGGAATGGCTATGAGGAGTAGAGATGGGACTGTGCCCAACCACTTGGACAGTCGGGGATCGAACGCAAATTCTTCAAGAATCGATACCGTCGCTCTAGCAGCCAGTCCAAGTTGTTGGGCAAGTCTGTAGATGGTGCAATGCCTATCAAATTGATTTTGATTGTGCTATTCCACCTGCTTATAAGGCGTCAATTGGCTAACATTGATTATTCATTAAAAAAATTCATGATAGCTAGCAGTGAGATGCATTTAAGTTGATAAGTTGATATTGTTTGGTGTTGAACTTGTGAGGCCCGTTATTCCGAGCGTTCCTGGCGCCACTGAGCTGCTGTGGTAAATTGGCCGAAACCTAACTCTCCCTGAGGCCTCTCCAACAGAAAACGGCACATCACCTCCACCACGCGAGCCGCTACCATCTGTAGTACATAGAGATTTTGGCCCTTAGGAAAATTATACACAAAATTGCGATGTACTATTCAGGAGAACAGGTTGACGGTAGAGTGACTGTCTCACTTCATGCAGGTCGGTGTTCAATCCCCACGACCGTCCAAGTGGTTCGGTACCATCTCTTTTCCCCGTCCCATCCCTTATCCTGACCCCTTCCAAGTGCTATATAGTCGTAATGACTTGGCGCTTTCCGGTTGGCCTAATGCGGCATGAATATTTGCTAGCAGACAAACCAACAAGAATATCCTTGCCCGGAACATTGTTCATTACTACCACAAAAGCTCTCAGTGTGTCTAAACGAGAGGCAGAATACAATCATGAGTGTCTGCCCTCCTCCGTGAGCAAGTTAGACACCAATGGTAAGTTAGAAGCACATACATCCTCTCTTGCTCTTGAACAAAAATACTTGTGGTCTTCAGTGGTTGTGGAACTGTGGAGACTGAACAGGTGTTCTGTGAATGGCAAAGCCGACACCTATGGCGAGGCGTGAGGTGAGAACTGGGAGTTACCACACCTGTGGCGAGGTGTGAGGTGAGAACTGAGAGCTACCACACCTGTGGCGAGGTGTGAGGTGAGAACTGGGAGCTACCACACCTGTGGTGAGGTGTGAGGTGAGAACTGAGAGCTATCACACCTGTGGCGAGGTGTGAGTTGAGAACTGGGAGCTACCACACCTGTGGTGAGGTGTGAGGTGAGAACTGAGAGCTACCACACCTGTGGCGAGGTGTGAGGTGAGAACTGTGAGCTACGACATCTGTTGTGAGGTGTGAGGTTAGAACAGTAATTTAAGATACTTGTGTCGAGGTGTGAGGTGTGACACCGGTAACTATATAGGTGTGATAGAAGCACATTAGGAGTGAGCTACGACACCTGTGGGAGGCTTCTCCCTTGTCGCAGTCCATCGTCTTGATGAGGTCGTCCCGCTGTTAGACCCGCTTCAAACCTCTCATTATCAAAGTGCTTGTTTTGATCCTCCTGGGATGGGGTCAGTTCTTGGTTACATGAGTTTCCGCTGGCTTCCCCGTTTTCTGCATATATGTTTGCCTGTTTTTCCCGACTTTATGTTTTTTTTTCACTGCCTGCACTTTGTAAATTAGGTTTTATTTATGCTATTGCTCATATATTCGCTTGTGGCTGCTTTATAGAAGAGCATAAACGGTTCTTGACTCGCCGCTTCTGCGTGCAAGGAGCTTGTGTGAGATCACTCTATTTTCGTGATATTAAGAACGAACCTGAGAGATTTCATCTTTTGTAAGAGAGGAACGTGTTCGATTCCCGATAGCTACTGGTGAAGAACCTGCATTTATCTTACAGAGAGTAAGCCACAACAGTGTGGCTGAACACTAGACCCACACATCCGTAAATGAAGGAAGTGGTGACGTTTTGCCACGTGCTGAATCATTATCAATTATCACGCGAACTGATAATGAATTATCACGTTGTCACCTTCTTTATTTTCAGATATCTTTCTCTTATTTCTTCTTGTGCCGTTATAGTCTGTGGTTGCTATAGCGCATGAACATCAGTGCCGGTTTGTGTCACAACTACATACCATTGCTGAAGAATATTCTTTAATTTACTACAATCAGATCACTGAAATCCGGCAATTACATGGAAGTTAATCTTTCCGCCGAGACATTACTTCAGCAGTTCTCCTTCCACCCTATAGTTAGGCTGAGATTTTCTAAGCAGTCCTTGTGGCGCAGTGGTAACGCACTCATTTAGCGTTTCATGACCGATTGGGCCAAGGTTCGTATCCTGGACACAAAGAGGATTGACAAGGCGCCACTTCTTAATTGTATGCCTCTGTTCACGCAGCAGTGATTGGGTATCTGGATGTTAAACGCTTGCCGGGTCGTGTTCCAGGGAAACACTAGTGGGTAAGGCTTACTACGAGCAATGGCATGAGTAAGCTCTCGGCTCTGCTCTCACCAGTCGCCTGTTCCAGTACCCACCTGAGTTAAAAAAAAAACGTGTTATCTCCAGAGTAAAAACCCTCCCAAAATTAAAATATTTTTGTATTATGCCCAAAATATTGTTTTCTTGTAAATTGATTAACAAACGAAGAAACGACGTAAACTAATTCTAGTTACCAGAATAATATGGTTGTCGAGGCTGAAAATGGAGGTTTGTGTCCACATTGGCCCACCAACAAAAATAAAAAATAGCAGTTCACAGGAGGAAATATTTACCGAGAGGTGCACCACATTTCTGTGTGTGTTTGTGTTTACAATGAGAGTTTACGTTAGTCTTGGTCAATGTTTGGGGCAAACGTGTCCTTGCTGGTTGGTCAGTAATCTTGTGGTGGCCATAATAACCCCTCCGGGGGGTTAATAGAAACATAAGCCATAAACTAAAACTAATCAAATTACAAACACAATTTCACTTACAAAGTTATAGAAAGCGTGTTAATGAAGAGAGAATAAATTTCATTTGACACTATACCGAATCTTTGGATGGTGAAACAAAACCCATCACCACCTACCGCCTCTATTTTGTAATATTTTGAAGTGAAATGTATATTTTTATTGTTATACAGTCATTCAAAAACACATTATTACTCGGACAAAACAAAACAATCTAGCTGCTCTAGTTTGGGATTAGAAGAAGTTTTTTTTTTTTTATATCCGCAAGAGCCGTGATTAGGATACGAACCTATGCGACAGTATCTCCCAGGCACACGCCCGAGAC